CATGTTTCCATTCACAAATGGAGCTGAGGGTTGGCCCCGCCCCCTCTCTCCCCTCACTGGCTGACTGACTGACTGACAGCAGCATCTCAGCCAATGAGGAGGCAAAGACCCATGACAACTGAGGTTGTTGTGCACATCGATGGATTGCTATGGGGCTCAGGTAAGTAATGAGGGGGCTGGGAACACTGCTGCACACAGATTATTTACCTTCATGCATAGAATACAAGAAGGTAAAAAACCTTGAGCCTTTACAACCCCTGTAAAGTTCAGCCTGGGTGGCAACAATGACTCCCTCCAGAGATATTGTGAAGGAGTGAGCATAACCACACAAGAACAGAAAGTGTATTAGTGGCAGGATCACCAGGTGAAAACAAAGGAGGAAAAGTAATAAACCTAGTAGAGAAACTCCTCTAAAGACTGATAACCTACAATATATTACATTTTTGTATTTGAGTATAGACACTTTAAGGTTTTTGTGTTCTATTACTCCAGTTATTACGGTACTTTACTTTCCCAAAATCCCTTTCTATTAGCAAGCTCTCCTACTATTGAAGATATTCTTTCCCATAATCCCTTTATTTTTCCCAAGGTCTCTTGCTACTAATCGCCTCTCTTCCCAGAACCTTTCTTTACAGCTCGCTGCTAAGTGTCTTCTCTTGTTAAGGATCTTTGTATCTTTAATCCATGCTTTCCTGCTACTGAATGTCTTCTGTTTCACATAATCCCTCTTTTCTAAACTAGATTGCTCTCCATATTGCCATAATCCTTTTTTTCTTTGTCCCAAAACCAGTATTAGGGCTTTCCCTGTATCCCTTTGCCTCTTGCCCCCCATGCTCCCTTTTGTCTTACTGATGATCCTCTTAAAATATATTCTGGTAGTATACCTAAAAGTCAAGGATTGGCGTGACATCTTTTGGAATTAAAGTAAATCCGGCAAGTGTGCTTTGTTTTTTATGTCCATTTAGGATTAAAGCCTTTAAAATGCCACTAAACTATATCCTTCTCCCAAATAAACCGTACCCATCCACTACTTGCAGGCCTTATCTGTTTTTCTTGAATGTCTCCTTTTCCCTCTCATTTCTGAGTGTTTGGAGCAAGCAGTGCACATTATTTGTGGTTCGTTTACACTACAAATCCCATACTCTATCTCAGGAGTGAGCAAAAGAGTGGGACCATGGAGAACAAAGGGAACACACTCAAATAGAATATTTTTTTAAAATCAGAGTTTGGTGTCACTTCAATATTCAAGTCTGTATTCAGGTGTATTCCAGCAGCTGCCAATGGATGCTGAGCATATTCTTAACGCTCCATTAACATCCAACTACATACTGAACATTGAGTCTAAATGCATTGTTATCTTTCTTTTTCTTAAGCCCTGATGAAAGGGGTGGAGCCCCCCAAACATGTTGGCTTTGGAAACCATCATTGGAATAAAATTGTATTTGGAGATGAATAAGGTGTGGCGTCTCCATTCTAAATTCACTTCTACATATCCTAAACCCAAGTTGATCTTGGAAACTCTTTTTGGTGTGCAGAAGCTGCCACGACCCATCTTTACAGTCACACCATTATCATTCAGTATTATCCATTAAAAACATTTACCAAACAGAGGGTTCTCAGCACCTTGCATCCACTTTTCCAAATGTTTGTTGTTTGTGAGCAGTGTTGGAGAACCTAGATGATCTCTACAGTTGGTCTGTATCCAACCAAAGAGATCCTTTACTACATAATTTTTGGTAGACCTAAAGGACATTGTACATTCGGATTGTGTATATGGTGAACCTAAATCTCTCCAAACCCCAACAGGTCTAAGGGTCACCATACGCATTACAGTCTGACCATGTAATCTTTGTACAATCGGCTTTAGATCTACCAAGCCTAAAAAGGGCCTATCTAAATTATACAATAAGACATGACCTTGCACTACATTCTTGTTGGTAGATCTAAAGGCGATTGTGCAACCAGATTGTAACATGTTAGGTGAGCTTAACACTTCCATGCAGTCAGCATTTAAGTTTTCACATTCACATCTTGTCCCTTAAGCCTCGTTCACAGTGATGAAGCAAATCCTCCCACATAAGCTGTCTCTGTGTATTTGCAGCCCTTTCTTCTCTGGAGCCTCTAAACCAAGTGTTTGTGGGGAAGCTGTCACAGATGTGGGGGTCTCTAGGGGTGGTGTGAGGATACTCAGAAACATGTTACATCCTAAATACAGGTTTATCATGTTCCTAAAGGCAAACTTATCCTAAAAAGTTAAAAGAAAGGGGGGGGGGGCCCTCATTGCTGGGTGCACATTTTATAGGAACTTAACACCCACTAGGGGGCATTATTCCATCAAGGAAAATGAATGAACGATTCGGTTTAGAAAAATGTGCATTATATTATGATTGTAATTCTAATGGGTTTAAATTCTTAGTGTAGTTTTCTTGGAGGAATGCTTTCTCATTTGCATCTCCCTATAGACCTTTCTGTTGAATTCCATCATGAAACGTGGTTTTCCTTCAGTGGCTAAAGAATGGTTTGTCTTGTTGCAGAATCCATGTTCACGATTGCTTGAACCTGTTGAGTTTTCTGTCCTGTCCCCCATTCCTGGTCTTATCTCACAGTCACTTGTCACAAGTTACAAAATGGACTGCCTACACAATGAAGGAGATGTCACCGATATTATTAATCATAGGGGCAATGTCAGGGCTGAATCCTGCAGGACATCTCTTGGAAGGGGTTAGCAGGCAAACTTGAAAGCCACCTTTAAATTCTAAAGGAGCTTTATTTTTTTGTTTTGGGTAGAAGAAAACACTTCCATTACGCTCCCATCTGACTGCGTGTCTATTGAGCTGTGCTTTACACTTGGTATTAAGCTTTGTTCACCCTAAGACAATGCAGTTATATGGGACAGCAATTACCTTAATTCATAGCATTTCCATCCAGAATCACACTGGATAGAAATTTGCAAGATATCTGTTTTTTTTTTTTGTTTTTTTTTAAAAAAAAAAAAAGGTGTGTGCTCCTGGGCTATCGTACTTGCTGTTGCTTTACAACCTCAAACTTTATTGGTGACGAGCAAGTATGTGCATTTCAGGTGTCAGGACATATAATCATATGCCTATTCTGGGGTCACTCTCCCTAGGTAGTAAACCACAGATGATGGTGATGGCCCTGCAGCGTGTACCGCTCTGTTATATATAACTGACAAATTTGAAGCAAATTTGTGCTTTATCCCTGTAGGGCAAAGTAATAGGTTGGCTTTAAGTTCCTTCTACTGCAGCAGCAAGTATTTCTTTACGTAGGTCAGTCACCCAGTATTGCGTACCCATGCAATTTTCTCCCTTTCCTCTCATTTGACAGTGCTGGTGCTCTACGGATGCCCCAGTGATGTCATATGGATTTGGAGACTGGGTATTCTAAGATACTACTACAGAAAGCTTGTGCAATGCTTCTTTCCCTTGTTCCCAGTGGCTCTATAGAGTGGCGAAGGAGGGAAAATAGGGCAAATATATGCTGCAGGAACTCCTAAAAAGAGCTGCACTGTGCGGAAGCAGATCCCTGACATTGCTCTGAGCCAAAATTTCTCTGTGATCTCTATGAACAGCGGACTGATTTCTGGAAATGTTAGGGGAACTGGTGGTGTTGTGGTGTTGGAGGTGAGGCATTTCAATGACTGTACAATCAGCTTGGTTTATAGATTGGTTGTTGTTGGGGTTTTTTTTGTTTTTTATGGTTACTAAGTGAAATTTCTGTAAAGATCTGAAGCTCCCTGCCTGCCCAGAAATTATCTGCGTAACTCCAAGAGTTCTTTTTTTTATGTTTTTTTTTTTTTTAATTTTATATAGTTCTTGGGCGTAACTAGAACAGGATCCTATGTAGAAAATAAAGCCAAATAAAGAATTCAGAAAAAAACAATATATATATATCTATATATCTATATCTGGAGGGTGTAGATCCTGTGCTTGGCCCTACCAGTGATGAAGTCTTGATAATATTTTGGAAATGTGGTGCTTCAGGCCTGCTCTTATCCTCTGTGCCTCCATACTGTTTGCAGCAAGTTGGGCTGTAGACCTGTTGGTTATGAGACTTGGCTGTCATTGAGCACCTCTATGGCCAAACTTTTCTGCAACCTGGCATACAGGTTTGATTCTAAACCTTATGTACCATAATGGGCTACAGAAATGTGATGGTTTGTGCCAGTAATAATCATCATTTAAGTGTTTTTTTGGGTTTTTTTTTTTTTTTTTTTAATGTTTAAGTAAATGAAAAGGGAGAATTTTGATGGTTGATACAAGCAGTTGTTTCACTACAACAGCAAAAGGAGGGAGCATGTAGAATTAACTTTTCAGCAGCTTAGGGGAGTTTAATTTAAATGACAATAGCTGAATTTTACTTAATGTCTATAGCTTTTTGAATTGGGTTACTTTAAGCCATCTTGGTCTTAAAGTGGAACTTTGGGCAAAATCTAAAAGATTACATATGTTGTAGTCTGTCAGTTCTAGTTTTTGGTTTTCAGAGTCTTCCTCTAACAAAATTATCTGGATCGTTTTGCCCATAATGTGTCCGTCTCCAAGCAAGTTTCATTGAACTTGGAGCACAGACACTCATGGGCTTTCTGATTAGTAACCAGTATGCAGGGGTGGACTGACCATTTGGAAACTCGGGCACTGCCCGAGGGCCTGGGGTCAGTAGGGGGCCCCATAAGATGCCCCTGGTGGCTTTTTTGAGTTTGGGCAAGGACACAGGGGCCCTATGATCCCCTATTGCCCAGGGGCCCCATGAGTTGTCAGTCCGCCCCTGCCAGTATGCTTTCATTGTTCTATCTGTACTAGGTGTCTGTTGGATGGGATTGCAAGGGACAAAAAGGAGTTTTTTTTTTCTCCTGTTATTATAGCTAGGGCTTAGTGGCACAAGTTCTGATTTTAATAAGGATTTTACAGAAATAAACTAGTAGAGTGCCTACCACCCTTTTGTTTTCTATCTCCCATCCCCCATGTTGTACATTTTTCCCCTCTTTCTCTCTTCAGGTGATCAGGAGAGGTTGGTTGACCATCAACAACATCAGCATCATGAAAGGAGGCTCCAAGGAATATTGGTTCGTGCTGACAGCAGAGTCCTTATCCTGGTATAAAGATGAAGAGGTAAAGTGGGAGGACTAATAATGTTTGGATTCTGTACTTGTTACTTGCCGTAGATTTGGGTTTTATTTAGTAAAGATGTGTTAAAGCTGAACTTCATGAAGATTTTAAAGACACACATTGATGCTGCTATATATTCTCACATCATTAAATGTGTATTTGTTTTTTTTTTTTCTTAAATGCAAGCGGTGTAAGTAAATTTGACTTGATATTGGCCTCTTGCAGCCCCTGTACAGCAGAGCTCAGACTGGTAGAGGGGAAAATCTGCACAAGAAGCCAGTCAGCTATGCTAATAAAACCCGTCTGCTTCTTCTTACTTCACATTGGACAAGACCTGTACATTTTACTTTTAAGTAATAATGTTGGTAAAAAAAAAAATGTAGCAGACCTCAGGACTTCATGTTGTAAAGACTCCTTTTCCAGCAGTTTCACATGGTCCCCTGATTGCTGGCTCTGCTTTCCAGTTTTTAGGGTGACTCCTTGACTTTTATGGTCTTATGGAGCCATCCTGTGGTTCATGCTCCAGAGAAAGGACTATGTAAGCTGTATGTGCCTGAGATTGAAAGCAGCTCCATTCATTTTGTGAATGACTGAGGGCACAGGCGAAGGGATGCTTGTATTTATACTGCAAAGGTGGGGATCATGTGACTTTTGTGGCGCAGTGGTGGGTGTGCAGTATCTGCATGCAATGCAGGGAAGTGGAACAGGAGACAGAGGAGACTGGAGCTGCAATAGGATCAGCTGCTACATGTATATACAGGAAAATGTTTCTGGAAAGGGAGGCTTTATACTACCTAACCACAGCAGAAAAAAACATGTCTCCTGTCCTGCCAGAGAGGGCTATGCTGTGTGGCAGAGCCATGTAAATATCACGACTAGATGGACAGAAATTAAAAACATTTACTGGCAGGTAAAAGTTCTCCCTAATATGTATTTAACCTGCGTATTTAGCAGTTTTCCTGGAGTTCAGCTTTAACCACTTGCCTACCGGGCACTTATACCCCCTTCCTTACCAGGCCAATTTTCAGCTTTCAGCGCTGCCGCACTTTGATTGACAATTGCGCGGTCATGCAACATTGTACCCATATGAAATTTTGATCATTTTTTTCTCACAAATAGAGCTTTCTTTTGGTGGTATTTAATCGCCACTGGGCGCTTTAATTTTTGCGCTATAAATTAAAAAAGTGCAAAAAATTTAAAAAAAAAAAAAAAAGTTTATTTGTTTCTTTTATAAAATTTTTCAAACAGGTATTTTTTCTCCTTCACTGATTTGCATTGATGAGGCGGCACTGATGGGCACTGATAGGCGGCACTGATGGGCACTGATAGGCGGCACTGATGGGCACTGATAGGCGGCACTGATGGGCACTGATAGGCGGCACTGATGGGCACTGATAGGCGGCACTGATGGGCACTGATAGGCGGCACTGATGGGCACTGATAGGCGGCACTGATGGGCACTGATAGGCAGCACTGATGGGCACTGATAGGCAGTACTAATGAGGTGGCACGGATAGGCGGCACTGATATGCAGCACTGATAGGCGGCACTGATAGGTGACACTGATAGGCGGCACTGATAGGTGACACTGATGATGGGTACTGATAGACGGCACTGACTGGCATCACTTCTGGGCACTGACTGGCATCACTTCTGGGCACTGACTGGCGGCACTGACTGGCACAACCCCTGGGCACTGGCTGGTGGCACTGGCTGGTGGCACTGACTGGCAGCACTGGTGGGTGGCACTGGTGGGCGGGCACAGGTGGGTGGCACTGGTGGGCACAGGTGGGTGGCACTGGTGGGCACAGGTGGGTGGGCACATGTAGGTGGCACTTCTGGGCACAGGTAGGTGGCACTGCAGAGTGGCACAGGTGGGTGCACTGCTGGGCACAGGTGGGTGCACTGCTGGGCACAGGTGGGTGCACTGCTGGGCACAGGTGGGTGCACTGCTGGGCACAGGTGGGGGCACTGCTGGGAACGGGTGGGCGGGGCTAGTGGGCGCACTGCTGGGCGGAACTTGCGGGTGTCACTGCTGGGCATCGATCATCAGGGCACTGATCATCAGTGCCCTGATGATCGGTGCCGATCCCCGCTCTGACAACTGCCGGTTTTCGGCAGTACTTTCCTCACGATCTGACAGCGTGAGGAAAGTGCAGCCAAGAACCGGCACTTGCATTTCCCTGTGATCAGCGTGTCATTGGACACCGCTGATCACGTGGTAAAAGGCCGGTGGGATCGGCCTTTCACCACATCACGTGATCAGCTGTGTCCGTAGGACACAGCGATCACGGAGATCGCCGGGTGCGCGCCCCCTGGGGCGCGCAGGAGAGCGCGTTCTGGGAGGACGTCATATGACGTCCACTCAGAACTGGCCGGCCGCGGTGAAGCCGTCATTCGGCTATGCGCGGTCGGCAAGAGGTTAATGTGTTAAATGAGAAGAGAAATCTTTACTCTTCAAAGTAACTTGTTTAACTAATAAACCCTGGCATGTTAAACTAGTGTAGTGCCGTGTATTCCCAGAGTGTATCCTGACCGTCGCTGTGCATATAATGATGAATCCAAATACTACGATAGACCAAGATTTATTGTAGAACATTGACTCCAGAACACTGGGCCATTTTTCCCTTGTGTCATTGGGCTGATGGATCCTTTAGTTGTCTTTAATAAAGAGAGTAGGGGCGCACCCACTTAACCGTAAAACACATCTGGGGGTTACATTTTGAAGTTTAACTTCTCATTTGAACAGTGAAAAAAATCTTAGGTATATCCTGTTGCCCATACATTTACCTGTTTAACCGACTTTTGTCTTTTTTTTTTTTTTTTTAATTTTGTAATTTTTGTTTTCTCTGAAGTTGTGCAAGAGGAGCTTAACCTCAAAATGTTGTTCAGATGCACTGCATGTCTCTTAAGGATGTTGCAGGTTTTGTGTCTGCAGCTGCAGTAAGGTCAGGGTGACTGCAGCAGCCATTTTTTTTCTGTGCAGGTATGGAGTCTTCTTTTAAGGCCCCATGCACACCAGGTGCACAAGATCCCAGCATTTTGCTGCAAGTGGATGGCACAGGTCCACCATCCAGCGCTGCTGCCAGCAGCCTGTGGAACTCAAACTGAAAGTTTCTGCGGCTGGACAGTACATGGCGTGTTACTAACGTTTAGGGCAGCATGTGCCCAGGGATGAATGCCCAGAATGCAGACTGCTTGCATTCTCAGTATTTGTCCCTGGACACATGCTGCCCTGAGCGTTAGTACACTCTATCCGCAGCAGTTTTCAGCTTTCTTTAGATTTCTACAGGCTGCTGGTAGTGGGGCTGAATGGTGCGCCTGTACTATCTGCTTGAAGCAGAATGCCGTGATTTTATTCATCAGGGCAAAAACACCCAGCGTGCATGGGGCCTTAAAAGGAGACTCCATATCTGTACAGAAACAAGTGCACACAAAACACTGGAATCTCATGCATCGGGGCTAAACACCCAGTAGGCATATGAGGTCCTATTGTGATCCCTCATGGTGATCAGCAAAATAAAGTGGGACAAGGAGGGCTCAGTGACTTGGAGAGCCATTAGAGTTTGACAGTTGATAATGCAGAACTGGGTTGACTGGCTCTGGTCACATTTGCAGTCTTCCCTTTAACCTTTAATTCTGTGACATATTCTATACACTGTTTTTGGACTAGTGAAGTATTTAGATAGCAAACAGCAGTTCTGTAATTGTAGCTTCAGTCTTCGGGATGAAACCAACACCTAAATAACATGAAATAGTTACACAACATAAGAACAGATTTTATTTAGAATGTCGCTGTACGATTGGAAAACAAAAAACAGGAGTGTCTTTTTAGAAGAGGCAGTGGCATTCTAGCATTAGCTCACACACATCTGCTTGCCATGTGTCTCCTGTTATCTTCATTGAGGTCCTGTGTGTCTTCATGTAGGCTGATGTCCATCCCAGTTTAACCAGTGTGTAGACTACTGTTCACTCACTGTCCAACGAACACGTAGTCTGAACACTGGGAGAACGGGGTCAGGCTCTGAATTGCAGAATCCCAGCCGGCGCGCTCAAGAAAATTCCTCGCCACTTCCTGTGCCTCTCAGAACTGCAGAATAGTCATGTCTTTGTGCCCCTTCGACCGCCAGATGTGCGCCCGCCTTTGTTAGCGGAGTTAAATCTTCAAACTAACTTCTAGTAATTCGCCTCTAGCAATTTACTGACCTTGGCATCTAAGGCTGACCCTGAGGTCCTGTTAACCCTTTATACTGCTATCCTCACTAGACCTGATTTTCTCAAATCTAGAGCACAAGTGGAGTAAGCAAACCGTCTGATTAGCAAATGCAACAAAGGGGCTGGATTATGAAAAGTGGATCAAAGAAAACTTGAAGTGGCACTGTGTTCTGTAGTACCTCTCCTACTGTCACACAGCATGACAGATAAATCCAAATTGGTTTTTATGGGAGACAGCCACATTTATATTTTTATCCAGTTTTCATAAGTGACCCCAATGGCTTTTAACCCCTCTGTGCACTTTTAGCCTGGCATGGACAGGACTATTTTTTTTCACTCAGATGTAACAAAAGAAAGAATTTCAGGTTTTGCTACTGCTGGGCAGGTTTGAAAAGAGACTTGAACAGTTCTTCTAGTGATCACGACTTTGATGAACAGTTCTGAATCTGTAAAGAAAGGTGAGGAGGTTTGCAAGATGTGATGGCTTTTTATTGCTTTTTTTCTTAACACACTACATTACTCATTTACTTTGTGACACTCAGATCAGTGCACTAGTGAACATCATAATTTGTGAGCATTAAATGAGCCATTCACAGATTTTTATCTGACCCAACAAAAAAAAGACAACATTCAGATTACATCCTATCCAATTTTCATATTATATAGCTAATTCTCATTAATTTGACAGATTTGAATCTTACTGGGCAGCCAGCTGTAACCCTGATCATTCAGCAGATGTAATTGACTAAAGTATCACTTGATACTATAAAGCAATAATTATTCATCCCAAACTTTGTATTGGATGTTCCCCATAGAAAAAATAATTGAAAGTCCTTTCAAGCATGCATCACCAGATTCTGGCGGCAAAGAATTGCCGTGACTCCTTGCAGTGCTGAGATTAGAAGTAGCAGTGGCAGATCTCATGAGGGAGATGCAGGGAAGGGTAGAGAATTCTCTAAACCTAGAATTTGTTAGCTGCCCTCTCTGAGTGTAGTTACAAGCAGCAGGGAAAAGGCAGCATGCAGTTTTTTTGTAATCTGTAAGTAAAGTTTTTTTTTTTTGTTTGTTTGTTTTTTTTGCATTGCTCCAGTTTTTATACTACGTTCTCTGTCTCGCTTACGAAAAAAGTGAGGGCGGACTCAGCTCCACTCACACTTAGACCTAGTGTTGAATTCCCCTTTCTCCATAACACTCATACAGCATTCTCAACAATCATCCTAAATCCATACAGAGACTCTCCCATAATTAACTGGATGGAATACTTTTCTCCGGTGTGTTTATCGTGCATTAGGTAACCAGAAAGCAATGCTGTTCTTGCACTTTACTTTTATCCTGAGCCTCACCCCAGCACCCACCCTTTCTATGGATCCCCGTTCATGCTGTAGGAGGAGGTCGCAAGCAGATTACCTACCCAAAAACAACCCCAGCTGCGGCTCTTACCAGGCTTCCCTATATCGCTGCAGGAGTGGATGCTGCAGAGCGAGCCCAGGGATATCCAGGCTCCTGTGACGTGGCATTGAAATGCTCGCAGCCTCCGGAGCACATTTGTGGCTCTACAGGAAGTGAGAGAGGAGGGGTTAAGAGGCTGGGGGGCTCTGCATCCAGCAGCCTCCATGTGGAAGCAGCATAGGCCTCCGCCAAAAGTCCTCCCAGACACTTAAACTGTTCCAGATGTTGCATCGCTAGCCGTAACATAAGCTGCCTTGCATTAACTGTTTTCTCTCCTGGAAGCTCGCAGTTGTTCCGCTGAGTGCTACCATGGCCGGCAGAAGTTTTAAAAAGTTTGTATAAAAATAAGTGATTTTTTTAGACTATATATTAAAGCTTTTTTGCTTACAAGTCACTAGTAACTTATTTTATTAAATATAAAATTACTAATAAGGAATTGTAATAATGTGTTGCCCACTGGTGCCGCATTTTCAAGATTTCATCGGGAACAGAAAGTGGTACCTGTGGCTGATAACTTTTACTCCATCACACGTTGATGAACTCTCCTCTGCCCCTGCAGGAGAAAGAGAAGAAGTACATGCTGCCTCTTGACAACCTGAAGATCCGAGATGTAGAGAAAGGGTTCATGTCCACCAAACACATCTTTGCCATTTTTAACACAGAGTCAAGGTGAGCAGCCAGGGTGCCATGTGTAAGTTGCCTGTTACGGATTTATATTGTACTGGGAATTAATATGCCTTATTGAAATGCAGGTTTGGTTATATGAGCTCCAGGTTCCTTTTATACATTTTGTATTCATTTATTAGATATGTCAGCATATGTTCTGCTTAGTGTATGTATGTCCAGCCAAAACATCTGTTTTTTGAGGGGGGGGGGGGGTGGTTTTTCTTTTGTTTTTTTTTGATTACAGTGGGGAAAGTTTAAATTACTTATCAAGCTGTATTTCTGTATGGGGTTCTATTGTAGAGATTTGTTTGGTCATAATAACCATGAAGTGGCGAGCGAGTGACCAGATATGATTATTGCACCACATCCCTTAAAATTGCAAATATTCAATAGAGAAGATGGGACTTTCAAGGTGCATAGACATGAATGCCACACATTAAAAGTTATATAATTTGTATTTCGTATTTTGGTAAAAAACAAAGAGAGGAAAAAATACAGAAACATAAAAACAATTTTTCAATTCTAAGAATACACATGCGTGTACACACAGACATGCGTTAGGAGCTCCTGCGCTCCTAGCCCCAATCCGCTGCCATCCGGCCCGCAGCGGATCCCAGCGGGGCCACTAAGACACTCACGGCCCAGCCCGACCACCAGGGAAGGCTTCTGGACCTTTTCCCGGAGCTCCGGGAATCGCGGCCTACCGCGCACCTGAAGCCAGGGCCTCAATTTTTGCCGCGACCAGACCGCATCGCCGAACATCCGCCCGGACCGTCTCCGCTCTGCCCACCGGGTACCACCGACCTGCCTGCCTGCCCAGGGCCCTCCCCATCAGCCCTGGGTCCTCGTTGACTACCCTGGACCACCAGGAACAGCAAGGACCACCAAGCTGACAGCAGCCCAGGACCACCCCAGGATACCTGCACGGCAGCACCACCAGAACGGGTAAGCTGCCACCACCGATCACCACAGACCTGCCAGCCTCCGCAGGGCCCTCCCCACTAGCCCTGTGTCCATCCCTGACCACCAGGAACCAGCTCAGGCCCACTGATCGCTGCTCCGCTGCCCAACCCATAAATCGGTTCTGGGCCCACCCCTGGACACTCTGCACCCAGCTACCACCCCTGGACACCCAGCTACCGGGCACCCAGCTACCACCCCTGGACACCCAGCTACCGGGCACCCAGCTACCACCCCTGGACACCCAGCTACCGGGCACCCAGCTACCACCCCTGGACACCCAACACCCGGACCACCCAGCGAATCAAGACGTCGCCCAGCGAATCTCCCGGACCACCCAGCGAATCTCCAGTCACCGAGCCGCCAGCATCACCAGACGCCGTGCCTACCAACACCCCCAGACATCGCACCCTACGACCCCTCCACTCGCCGATCCACCGGACCCACTGAAGACCCCTCGGACGCCAGCATACTGCACCCACAGATTGCAGCTACAGGACTCTAGTGGACTCCACGGTGATACAGACTCTCCACATCACCTCGCCCTGACCCATATCCCTTCACCTCCCCTGACCCGAACAGCACTGCACTCACCCCAGCATGCCACCTGCACTTCTCCTCCTCGTTTTCCTCTCCTCCATCCCAAAAATCGCCTCCCTCTACCCCCCCACCCTCCCCAAAACAGCTCTACATTGCCCCTTCACTTCTGCCCTCTCCCCACTACGGCACTCACCACCACCTCCTCCTGGTACTCCACTCCCCGGTCGACTGACGTGCCACCACTACCAGACCCACACGCTCCTACACCTCCCATTCCCATGCCACCCTCCTCACCCTTCTCCTATCCGCTGGGGACATCTCCCCGAACCCTGGCCCCTCACCACCTCTCCCCCCTCCAGGAACCCCCCCCTCCAGGGACCCCCCCTGCCCCCGCTAGCCGCCGCAACCCCCTCAACCTCATACCTGTGCACCTCCTCCCCGCATCCATCCCCCTCTCTCGGTTGCACTTCTGAACGCCCGTTCGGTTTGCAACAAACTAACTGCCATCCATGACCTCTTTATCTCCCGCTCCCTCAACCTCCTAGCCATCACCGAAACCTGGGTACAGGCCACTGACACTACCTCCCCTGCGGCACTCTCCCATGGAGGTCTCGTCTGGTCCCATTCACCAAGACTGAGCGGTCACAAAGGTGGTGGTGTCGGCCTGCTCCTATCACCGCTGAGCACCTTCCAGGTCCTCCCTAACCCCCCCTCCCTAACCTTCTCCTCCTTCGAGGCTCACTGCATCCGGCTCTTCTCACTCACCCCCCTAAGGATCGCAGTGATCTACAGGCCCCCCGGATCCATAGCCCGCTTCCTGGATGACTTCGCCGCCTGGCTTCCCGTCTTCCTCTCCTCTGAGCTACCGACCATCATCCTCGGGGACTTCAACATCCCCATCAACGACAACACCCCAGCTACCTCCCAACTCCTCCACCTAACCTCCTCCTTCGCGCTCACACAATACACTCAATCCTCCACCCACATCAATGGGAATACCCTGGACCTCGTCTTCTCCCACTTCTGTATCCTTAACCACTTCACTAACACCCCCTTCCCTCTCTCCGACCACCACCTCCTCATGTTCTCCATCTCCCCTTCCCCTAACTCCCCCCGTGCGCCAAACCATCACCAGCCGCAACCTCCGCAACCTGCACCCGGCCCCCCTCCACTCGGCTGCCGACCGCTTACACGACAGCATCCTTCCACTGTCATGTCCTGACCTAGCCACCACCGCATACAACGACTCACTATCAGCTACCCTAGACTCTCTGGCACCCCTAACCACACGCAACATCAAACCCAGACCGCTCCAACCATGGCAGAACGACCATACTAAATGCCTCAAACGTCGCAGTCGTGCGCTGGAGAGACTATGGCGCAAAACCAGGTCCCCTCATGCATTCTCCCTCTACAAATCTGCCTTCCTCACCTACACCTCCTCCCTCCACGCCGCCAAGCAGGCCTACTTCGTTAAGCTGATCAACACCCTCTCTCCACCTGCCCTCGCCGACTCTTCTCCACCTTCAACTCCCTGCTCTCTCCCCCCCCCCCCTCCTCCACTCAGTACCTCACTTACCGCCCACGAGATTGCCACTCATCTCCACAACAAGATTGACGCAATTCGCAAGGACATAGTCAACTTGCAATCTACCTCCCCATCTAGCCTCCCCCCTTCCATCACCCCCCCATCATCTCTCCCCTCCTCTGACCTCGCAACGGCACTGCCCCCCACTACACCCAAGGCCCTGCCTACCATAACCCCCCCATCACTGCACTCCTTCAGCCCTACTACCACTGATGAGGAAGTCACCAGAGTCTTCTCAGAAGCCCGCCTCACTACCCCTGCCCCCTGGACCCTATCCCCTCTCAACTCCTCCGGTCACCCCCCCTCTTCCCTCATCCGCTCTCCCTTACCCACATCTTCAATCTCTCCCTCTCTACTGGCGTCTTCCCCTCCCCCCTAAAACATGCGCACATCACCCCCATACTCAAAAAGCCCTCCCTGGACCCCACTGACCTCAACAACCTCAGACCAATTTCCCTGCTGCCACTCACTTCCAAGCTCCTTGAGCGCTTGGTCTTCGATCGCCTAAGCGCCCACCAAACCACAGCAACCTCCCTGACCCACTACAGTCCGGCTCCGTCCCCTACACTCCACCGAAACTGCCCTCCTCAAAATCACCAACGATCTACTAACCGCCAAAGGCGCGACTACTCTGTCCTCCTCCTCCTAGACCTCTCCGCGGCCTTTGACAGTCGACCACCCCCCCCTCCTCCTTAATTAACTACTCTCCCTTGGCATCAGAGACACCGCTCTCTCTTGGTTCTCGTCCTATCTATCCCAACGCTCCTTCAGCGTTTTCTACAACGATGCCACCTCCTCTTCCCTCCCCCTCTCTGTTGGGGTCCCCCAGGGCTCTGTCCTTGGACCCCTTCTCTTCTCCATCTACACCTCCTCCCTTGGCAAACTCATACACTCCCACGGCTTCAATTACCACTTCTACGCTGATGATACTCAAATCTACCTATCCACCCCTCACCTCACCCCCACATTCTCCGCTCGCATCACTCACCTCCTAAACAACATCTCCGACTGGATGTCGCTCCATTTCCTCAAGCTCAACCTCTCCAAAACCGAGCTTCTTCTCGTCTTCCCCCCCAGCCCGCGCCCCCCCCCCCCCATCCTTTCCATCAACACCACCACCATCAATCCCGCCCAGCAAGCCAAGGTCCTTGGCGTCATTCTGGACTCAAACCTTTCCTTTCAACCTCATATCAAATCACTTACAAACACATGCAGGCTCCACCTCCGGAACATCGCCAAGATACGCTCCTTCCTTACCCCAGACACCACTAAACTACTCGTACACTCCCTGATTATCTCACGCCTTGACTACTTCAACTCCCTCCTCACCGACCTACCCCAGTGCAAACTCTCCCCGCTTCAGACCATCCTGAACTCAGCTGCCAGACTCATCCACCTCACCTGCCGCTCCACCTCTGCCACCCCCCTCTGCCTCTCCCTCCACTGGCTCCCCATTGCCCAACGCATTAAATTCAAATTGCTCACCCTGACCTATAAGGCCATTCACAACACTGCCCCTAACTACCTCGCCGACCTGATTCCCAGGTACCACCCTACCCGTACCCTTCGCTCTTCACAGGACCTCCTTCTATCTTGCTCCCTGGTCTCCTCCTCCCACGCACGACTGCAAGACTTCTCCAGGTCCTCCCCCATCCTCTGGAACTCACTACCCCAATCCATCAGACTGTCACCTTCCCTCCTCACCTTCAGGCCCTCCCTGAAAACCCACCTCTTCAGGGAAGCCTACCCCACCCTCACCTAACAGCCGCTGCCCTTTCCTCCTCCTACCACTCCATCCCCCACAGCCGTTTCCTCCTGTGCCTCTACCCCCTCCCTCCTAGATTGTAAGCTCGTAAGAGTAGGGCCCTCTTACCCCTTGTGTACTGTTTGATGTTACTGTTCTGTTTCATGTATTGTCCCCCCTCTATTGTACAGCGCTGAGCAAACCCTTTGGCGCTATATAAACTCGATAAATAAATAATAAGAATACAAACTAAGAATTCAAACTTGGTTAGGTAAATGTAGTATACTATACAATAAAAGTGGCCACCCGCCCAAGTCTATAACTGGCTTATGAAGCAAGGACACATAAACAGGCATCACATAGTGAATAAGGGGGAGAGAACAATGTTCTTGGACAACTTGCCAGCCAGCTTGCTAACAACCGAATTAACCTGTCTAACAGTATGCGTTTATAACAGGGGTTTAGTTAGCACACATTTGCAAATACATACGTAAGCCACAGAGCCACGACACGGCACCCTGATAATCTGTGGTCCTAACTCTACAATTTGTGAGTCCCCATAGTAGAGGCACATGCATTTAATGGATAGATCAAGGGCAGGTGAAAATGTAGTATACTCCCTACATGTTTCGCCCTCATGGGCTTCTTTAGGGGAGATTTTTTTAGGAAATTTCTACCGCCAAGGCAGTCTAAAGGTATATCAAAGGAAAATTGTTCAATTTCCAAACAACTTTAATATATCCAATACAAGGTATTTCATCAAATATATATACATATATATGGGACTCAATGGCTCACCCTGGATGTGAATGCTCATGGAGCTAGGAGAAAATGACCTAAAAAAAAGATCTTAATTGGCCTACACGTCCAAAACAGTTGTCGTAATAACAGGTTTTCGAGACAGGACATGATGACAAATCTGCAGCAGAGCCCAAGATGGCAATTAAAGCTGACTGGGATTCTAGCCTTTTTTTCTCTAAAAGAAAACGTTTTATCTTAATCCTACAGCATAGGACACAGGAATTGGTTCTTGATCAAGCATTGGAACATGTATTCAGCATTCACTTTGGCACATGGTGTAACAAATGTACCCAACAGGGTTCAATACAAGTTCAGGGCTGTGGTCCATTCCAGTGGCACCCAGACCCTGAAGTCCTCCTAGGGGGGTATTTCCACTGTGACCAGCAAAGTCACATCCCTGGATGGGGTAGCAAGGTGGAAAAGGTAAGACAGGGTTTGCCTGTATCTTTACACATATATATATTTATTTATTTATTTATTTATTTTACTTTTCCCTTAGTTATTGTCTCGCTTTGTTTGGCCTTATAGTTAAATTTAATATTATAGTCCTTTTTTGTTCTTTTGTTTGTTTTTTAAATCTCACTGCTGGAAATTTCTTTCTGGCTAGTGCTGTTCTCAAAAGACCTTTAATTGCACACTTGCAACTGACACTTTCCGCTGCTGACACAAGCTGATAGCTTTCTCACCTGTTGCCTAAAACCTCAGACACAGCCGCAGGAACTCGGTCAAGGCCTGGCTTATTGAATTGCCTTCATACTGAACATGTTGAACCCCCTCGGTTTGCATCCATTCTGTGGGTACCCCACATCCTCATTTAGCAATGGCAGATTACTGGTGCTTGGGAGCAGGAGCACATGGGACAAGTAGTGAAAATTCGTTCAGGCCTGAAGGAATCTCCAAGTTCCTTTCAGGTTGAAAGCTGTTCACTGGCTTTGCTCCATCCCAACAAATCCGGTCCCTCACAGCCTTGCAACATGTGACTTGTTTTCCTAACGAATCTCTGCCACATGTCTGAATTGCTCCAGAGGCTATAGCTAGTTGTGGAAAAACAGTGGGTACCAACAGCAAAACACATTCTGTCTACCCTACCCCTGATTATATTCATGAAATGCCTGGCTCACTTACATTTGCAGACAGTAATGGGGATACTAATATTTTAGCAGAAGCTTCTGATGATTTTTCACCACTGTAATTTGTGAAGTTAATTCTTCAGCTTCTTACCACATGCTAGGTATGGTAGACTCATCGAGCAATACTAGTCTTAGGCTAGATGCACCTTATCCTGCTCAGTCTACCAGGGGTGTGGAAAGTTTTTTTTTTTGTTTTTTTTTTTTTGTTTTTTTTTAAAGCTACTTGTCCAGAGACTAATCTGTGTCCCAATATACTTGTCTTGATCCAAAAAAAAAAAAAAAACAATTTTAACCCAAACCGTATTTAAATCTGAGGTGCTAGTAGTAATGTCTGGGACTTTTAAAATCAAAAAGGGCTTTATGGTGACTTAAACGTTTAATTTTTTTTTGACATTGCGCCATTTTATCTCCTCCTTCCCTCCCTGCCTGTCTACAACACCTCACCCAGGAACTAGCAGGGAGGAGAGAGACTTTGCAGTGTAGTGAGCACTGATTGGGTGCTTGTCAGGAAAGGGGAGTGTCGGGCTTATCCTTTATCCTTTTTGCTGCCAGAGCCATTTTTGCGTTTTTTGCACATTTAAAAAATCATTTTAGGCTTGAAGATTACACAAAACCCGCAAACATGATATATTTTCTGAAATCCGAGAACCTAGAGAATAAAATAGTGGTAGTTCCAATTTTTTATGTCACATGATATTACCGCAAAGGTCTAGGAAACGCAAAATTGGAGTAAAAACTACATAAAATTAAATTTAGGGCACAAAAAAGCAATAAATTGCCCTATTTTTTTGTAAAGTATAAAAGATGAGGTTCCACCAAGTAAATAGATATCCAACATGTCAAACCTTAAATTTGCCTGTGCTCGTGAAATGGCGACAAACTTCAGTACCCTACATTTTTTTTATAGGCGACCCTTGTAGGTCATCAGTTTAGCGTTACGGAGGAGATCTGGTGCTAGAATTATTGCTCTTATTCTGGCGCGCGCGGCGATATGTGACGTGTATCGCAATCAACGTTTTCATGCGTAGGCTCCCCAGCGTGCGCTTGTACTTTTGTAGATTTGTATATGTGGGGAGGCGGGGGAGTCACTTTCAACGGCACACAGCTCTGAAGGAATGGCACAGGCATACCATTCCTTCAGAGCACATATGACAATGCTCTACACAGGTAAGTATCTCCCAAACGGTGCACATTTAGGAGATATTTACAGTGCCTACAGGTAAGCCTTATTATATGGCACCCTGCTGGTACAGGGGATTTGGTTGTCATTGAAGTCTGATCTCCCATTAAACTTCCTAGGATATTGGACAAATTTGGCTGTCACTTTAACTTTAGACCACTCTGATGGATGGTTGTCTGATGCAAATTCAGACGAATAAAGCCATGGCTATGGTGTACACCAACAGTTTAGGGGATCCAGAAGTCCAGCTGCTGCAAGAGAGGTAGAGTGAGTCAGAGCAGAAATTTATGGTCCAAACGTGTACATTCCAGTCATAGGCAATTGTCCTGCAAACCTCCTCAGCGGGCAGTGTTTGGACCCCAGAGAGGGTTTCTGCACTCCCAAAGATGTTCCTGGATCTGTGCAACCAGTAGGGATATCTGATGTGGACTTTCTGGCCTCCAGGTTCAACAAACTGGCCAGGCTTGTTTTCAGGTACAGGGATCCCCTGGCAGCAGTAGTGGATGTACTGGTTGCTCAATGGCATTACGCCTGATCTATGCCTTCCTCTCCTGAAACTTCTTTCTCGCCTGCTTAGTGGGATCAAGATGGAGAGCATTTTGAAGATCCTCATTAACCTGGACTGGCCCAGGCAAAAGTGGTACCCCAACCTGGTAAGATTTCTGGCACATGCTCCTTGAGGACTGTCAGATTGTTGTGATCTTCTCTCTGAAGGGCTGATTGCTATCCTGTTTCTCAACCACAAGCTTTAATGGAATGGCTGTTGAAGTCCAGGTTCTAAGGCATCTCTGAGGGAAGCAGACTTCCTAGATGTAAGCATCATAGGAATCGGACTAAAAGTCTACCAATGACTGTGGAAGACGTATTTCATTTTTTGAGTCTCGGAATGTTTACCCCTTTTACTTCTCAGTAGGACAAATCCTCTTGTTCCTGTAGCTGGGTTTGGACCTGTGTTTGGCTCTCATTACTATTAAAGGTCAGGTGTCTGCCCCTTCCATTTTTTTCAGAGACTTATGGCCACTCGATCTTTGTACAGAGAATCCCTCTGTTTCCCAGTAATTCATTGGAATCTGAATCTGGTTCTCTCTGCACATCAGAAAAAGCAATTTGAACCCATTAGAGACATTGCGTTCTACTCTCACCCTCATGGTGGTTTTCCTTGTAACCATCACCTCTGCTAGAGGGTACCTGACCTGGTGACATTATCTTGCAAGGAACCCTTTTGGTCTGGCATAGGGACAAAGTGGTGTTGAGGTCCAGGACTTCCTTTTTTCCTAAGGTAGGCCTTTTACCTAAACCAGGACTTTTTTCTCCAGTACCTCTATCTGGGTCCAGTTCATCAAAAAGGAATTTCCCTCAATAATCTGGATGTAGTTAGGGCTGCACAAGTGCATCTCCCAACCACTTATTTTTTTCAGGCTGATTCACTTTTTGCTATCCCTGTTGGTTCAGGTACAAAACTATGTAATACGAGGACAAACCTAAACCATGCATTCAATATACACCAAATCAGGCAGGCCGTTGCACTACATAGTTGATGGTAGATCTAAAGAAAATTGTACAGTCAGATTGTATAGTGTATGGTCAGCCTAAGAGGAAATCTCTCCAACATAGAAAAAAAAAATCTTACAGTGCTTCTAAGCCTTCTATACAAAATATTAAGAACTATTTGTTAACCTGTCTTTTGTATGGTCATTGTAGGAACGTTTATAAGGATCTACGTCAAATAGAACTTGCCTGTGAATCTCAAGAGGACGTAGATAGCTGGAAAGCCTCATTTCTTCGAGCAGGAGTGTACCCCGAAAAAGACCAGGTAATAACTACATAATGATTCAGCATTCTGTATGTAGGTTGTTCCAGAACAGAAGCTGCAGTCTAGTGCAGACAAGAGAGTAACACAAACACCAGACAGTAAGGCTGGCCATGGATGCTTTTTGTTTTATTATTAGCCGGGGGGCTGATCGCAAAAAAAAAATGGATTCAACCATGCATATTGCAAAAACTGCAGTGTTAATGCTGTAGATAGACTGGAAGTATGGGCCACTGAAGTCTAAGCAGTTGTGAAGTCTAAATCATTTTTATTTTTTTATTTTTATTCCGTTAAAATACGAGGAGCGTTCAAGTCCAACCAGGACTTTTGAGTTCATCTAATAAAAGTGCAAATTTCAAGGAGTGGGAACTGCATTTATTTTTTTACATCCCTGCTAAATATATACACTTGTCCCAGCTTATAACTAATGCCTGGAAAGCTTCGGCATAGAAAGATTTGTCAGTACGCCTGAACCATCCTAGGACAACCTGCTTTACTTCATCAGTGCTGGAATTCTGACCTCCGAGGGGTCCAAACAGGTGGAAATCACTCAGAGGTCCGGGCTGTAAGGGGGTTTGGCAATACCTCCGAGCCGAGTTGCTGTAATGTGGAGAGCAGTATGAGCTTGTGCGTTGTCTTGGAGAAACAGGATGCCCTTAGTGATCACACCAGGCTGTGTTTTTTTTACAGACACGTATGCACTTAAAACACAACAGTAATCACTGTTGATAGTGGCACCACAAGGTAGAAAATCCACATGAATAATGCCATAATATTTGTCCCAGAAAACACTTGCCATCACTTTACCTGTTCAACGTTCCCACAGAAAGATTTGTCTCTTGTGCAGTTTCAAGACCGGTTATGCGTCGATTACCCAGGATCAGGCGTTCCACACACTGAATGTTCTCGGGAATGAATACTGTGGGCTGGAAACTACCACAGCTGGGATAGTCACTGACTGACGTATGGCCATTTTTGAAATGTTTACACCATTTAAATTTCTTACCGCAGCTGAGCGTCTCATCACCATACTGTGCTTGAATTCCTCTGTAGATATAATGGGTTTTACACCTTTGTTCACAAGAAACATTATCACCACATGCTGTTCCATGCACGCAGTAACTCTGTGGTCTGCCATCTTGATTAACAGTCTCTGGACTGGCCTGCAACATGTGCGCTGCCTATCAGTAATAGGACACACTTGCCATTTACTACTGCGTGTAGTAACGCCACGCTAGCATCCCAATGCCAATTTGACTTGAACGCCCATCTTAATAAACAGGTTTATACTTGCCTGCTCTGTGCAAGGATGTTGCACAGTGCCGCCCCATTCCTCCTCTCAGCTCCTCCTCTTCCGTGTGTTCCACCATAGCAAGCAGCTTGTGTGGATGAGCTCCAGAGCCGTGCATCCATAGACCCCCACAGCATGGCTTGACCCTGCAACCTCCTCACAGCATTTGACTGACAGCAGCAGGAGCCAGTGGCTTTTTCTCATTGCAAAGTCCAAATGCCAGGCCTTTTAGGGGCCAGGTACTTCGGTGGTGGGTGCTTCTTCCGGTAGGCAAGCATTTTGCCAGACATAGGGCTCTGCATCTAGGGGAAAATTTCAGGGCCAGGGCCAGAAGAAACCCTTGGTGCAGAAGCCCGCCAGGTCAGATTCTAATTCTGATTTTTGTTGTTTGGAGAAAGGTGGCACAACTTTTTGGGCTATCCACGGCTCCTCGAGTATTTTACAAAGATTATGGCTCCAGTTCTGGGGCTGCTTTTGGGTCATCTGGATGATCTACTGCTCAGGGGTCAGTCTGGTCCAAGCCTGAGGGAAAAATGTGGCTCTTGCGATTCATACACCGGAATGTTGGAGCTGGGTTCTGAACTTCAAGAAGTCGGCTCTGTAGCCCGTACAGTGTCTGGAGTATTTGGGATTGGTCCTAGACACTGTTCAGGGAAAGGTGTTTCTTTCTCCAGGAAAGGGCCACGCCCTGAGATCAGGTTCTGAGTTTAAGGAGCAGAACGTATTCTTCCATTCGTTTCTGCATAAAGTTAATTGGGAAGATGGCATACTCGTTCGAGGCAGTGTCCTATGCGCAGTTCCACTCAATACCTTTGCAGAGGAATATTCTGTCGGCATGGAACAAAAAGGTTCAAGCGCTGGATTACCGCATGTCCTTGTCCAGGTTCAACAGCCAGATGGATAGGTTTGTGTCCAGGACGCGGGACCCTATTGCGATAGGGGTAGATGCCTTGGTGATACCGTGGGATCAGTTCCCCCTAATCTATGCTTTTCCCCCCAATTCAGCTACTCCCGTGGCTACTACGCAGGTTTCGAGATGAGGTGATTCCGGTGATATTAATGGCACCAGCCTAGCCAAGAAGGTGTTGGTATGTAGACACTGTGAGGCTAGCAGTGGGCGATCCATGGCCTCTCCCAGATTGGTCAGACCTGCTGTCTCAGGGACCTATATTGCACCCAGCTTTACGGTCACTGAATTTGACAGCATTGCTGTTGAGACCCAAATCTTGAAAGATAGGGGAGTGTCACTCGGTTATCCACACAATGTTGAACGCTAGGAAGCTAGTTTCTGGGAACATTAATTATAGAACTTGGAAGGCATATTTCTTGGTGTGAGGGTTGTAATTAGCACCCCCGGAAGTATTTGATTGGGAGAATTTTGTATTTTCTTCAATTAGGAGTAGAAAAAAATTTGGCTGTTGGTACTATTAAGGGTCAGGTTTCAGCCTTAGCTGTTTTCTTCTAAAGACCTATTGCTTCTCACTCTTTGAAGCGTACTATTTTTTTTTTTTCATTTTTTTTTACAGGGAGTGATGCTTACTATTCCTCCTGTCAGACAAGCCACCATTTGAACCTATCAGGGAGATTCTGTTAGTTCTGCTAACTTGAAAGGTTCTGTTTTTGGTGGCAATCACCTCTGCAAGAAGTACATCGGAGTCGGCAGTTCTTCCTTGTAAGGAACCTTTTTCAGTTTTACATCAGGATAAGGTGGTGTTACGGCCTCATCTGTCCTCTTTGCCAAACGTGGTTTCTAGTTTTCATCTCAATCAGGACATTGTTCTGCCTTCATTCTCTCCTAGGCCCCAAACGGCAAAACGATTTTTGCATGCCGTGGATGTGGTTCGGGCAATAAGTCTTTTTGAAAATGACGGCACAGATTAGAAAGATTGAATCCTTGGGGTTTTTTTTGCCGGAAGGTCACAGGAGAGAACAGGCGACATCCAAATCAACTAATTCTAAGTGGATTCTAAGTCACAGCTAATCATTCAAACCTATGGTATAAAGAGCAAGGTTCCATCCTTTTGAGTGAAAAGCACACCAGGAGTGTGGGGGCATCTTGGGCTATCTGCCACCATGCGTCAATTGCTCATGTTTGCAAGGCTGCTACATGGTCTTTGGTTCATACACTCTCAAGGTTTTACCAGGTTGATGTCCGAGCCACGGAGGATTCTGATTTTGACCACAGGGTTTTATGTACAGTTAAATAGCTCCCTTTTGGAATGTTGGCCGTGGTTATTGTAATGTCACCCACCCCTAAAGGTTATTGCTTTAGGACATCCCACATAGTCATTATTATGGCCTGCTCTCTGTCCCGTGATGTACCTGTAAAATCCATTTCTTGGAGTACATCACGGGACACAGAGGTCCCTCCCCTCTTTCTGGATTTTCATTACTTTCTAAAAAAATTCCTGTGTAGGAGGGGTTATATGGGGGAGGACTTCCTGTTTGGTCAGCCAGTGTTTATTCAACTATAGGTGGCATTTAACCCACATAGTCATTGTTATGGCCTGCTCTGTGGCCCACAGTGTACTCCAAGAAATGGATTTTACAGGTAAGTATGTAGAAATAATCCATTTTATTCTTATTTTAAATTCCTCAGGTTTGTGAAAGGTTAACTTAAAAAAAAAAATTATTCACACAATTGATCCTCCATTTGGTTATTTTTTTTTATTCAGCAAGTTGGACATATTCTAAGAAACTGACCTGTCTTCACGCAGGTCAGATAAAATCTTTGCTTATGTCTTTCAGGCAGAAAATGAAGATGACGTACAAGAGAATACCTTCTCCATGGATCCCCAGCTGGAGAGACAAGTGGAAACCATAAGGAATTTGGTGGACTCCTACATGGGAATCATAAACAAGTCCATCCGTGACCTCATGCCAAAGACCATAATGCACCTCATGATCAATAATGTGAGCAGACAATAATGCGTACTGCACAGCTACCTGTAGAATGGGGGTTGTTATCCTATAGTTTGCTTCAGGACTTTTACAAAATGTACTGCCTGGGTGCCTTGCGATTTATAATTTCTTAGTAATTGGAGCCCTTCTATATAATGTTGACGGCAAGGGCTTAACTGCAGAATGTGGAGCTCCATAGCCACATTTTAATGGGACCCCCTGACTCCCTCTCAGTGCCCTTGGCAGTGTCAGCTGTGACAATACTTTCATCAATGATAATATAAAGTGTTAGGGATAGGTAGCAGAAGAGCTGTCAGCATAGTCAGTATTCAATAGAGACCAGTGCTGCAGATAGTTGTTATGGAATAGGGGGGCAGCTTAAATGCACCAGTGTTTTTTCAGCATCTCAAATCTCAGGGCTTGGTGTTAAATTTATGTCCTCCGACACACAAGCTAGATGCAAGAGGTGGTCTAGGAATGGAAGACTGTTAAGCATACAGGATTAATTTCAGTGCTGGCTGGGATGACCAAAAGCTCTGAGGACAATAAACATACATTAGTAAGACACAAATTCTCACTGCATAGCCAGCAAAGGGATATATGTGGCTCTTGACTGGAATCTGTGCCCAAAAAGACAAGCAGAGCACTAGTCACCGGTACTGCCTATGGGCTGCCTGCAGCTAATCTTTCCTTCATTATGAACTTACCATGGCGTATTCCACACTTGGGCTGTGTGTGAACGTGGTCCTCTTGGTAGAGTAGTAGGGCATTGCTTCTTTGTCAGAGCTGTCCCCTTAATGACTAGTGATATGATGATAGGTGGAAGAATATTGAAGATGCTGCAGAAAAGGTGAAGGAAGCAAAGATCCACAGAATAAATAAAGCAAAGGCAAGAAGACACTTGCCCTTCCATTCCAGCAAGAAGATCAGTGAGCAGCACAGTAGTGTGGGACACCATCAGATTTTGAGAGACTAGCTGTCAGAGGCTGCAGTACCTTGGTTATTCTTATACTGCGGATATACAGAACAGGAGTGCCTAGTCACATATCAGGAAGCGCACTCCTAATTCTTCAGAAAAAGTAGATTTTCAGGGTACTGCCCAGGCAATGTTAACCTTATAAACATCCATATAATAAAGCGTATCTTTAGTTTTGCATACAGGTCCATTTTAACAGCACTAGACACATTCATTTTTTGCTCCTAAGCAACCTGAGTGCTTTTTGCCTGTCACTATATCTGCAATAAACTTGATGGCTGCTGCAAATGAAGTGACTGCCAGTAAATGATTTTATTGCTCAGTAACTTGGGTTTAAAATCCTTTATGTAGCCCGAACCTTGTCAATGAACTGTGGTCACATAATTGACTACCATCTAAAAATGTACATATCACAGAAACAAATGCATAAAGGCAATGTGCAGTAATGTGGGCCAGCAGTGTGCTATTGCTACAGTGGTTCGGTTAATGTTGTGTAATGGTACAATAAGGCATCCTTTCACACAGGTGATCCGCTCGGGTCTGCCTGTCCGTTTTTCAGGTGGACCTGATCGAAAAGTCCATGCATTCCAAGGGACAGGCAGATTTACTTGGACTTATGTCTGTTTTCACCCACCTACCTCTGGGTCCAATCCAGTCCACTAAAAAAAACTGTATGGGAGTCCGTCCTCTTCCATTTAGGTGGATCATATTGGAGGGTAGTTGGATGTAACCAGACAGAGGAGTCCATTTGCTCCCAGCCAGAAAAAGAGAGGAAGGCGCCTCTAAGTGCAGTATTAACAATTTATTAGTAAACAATGGAAAATTTGCACTTACAAGATAAACAGTTAAAAAGACTCATTGTGAGGTAATTGGATCCAGGTGGGACATCCAGCCATCCAGCAGCAAGCTATGCCTATAGGATCAGGAAGTAGAGTCCAGGATGTGCCTGTTCATCAAAAATGAAGCTTGGAGAGCAGAGTCAGATGTAGCAGGTGAAAGGGGCGGTAATGCATTTCGGAGCATGCTCAATAGGCTCCTTCAGAGCTCTGGATCCAATTACCACACGATGAGCCTTTTTAACCATTTATCTTGTAAGTGCAAATTTTCCATTGTCTACTAATAAATTGTCAATACTGCACTTAGAGGCGCCTTCCTCTCTTTTTCTTGTTACTGCATTAGAGCCTTGCTTCCACTCTAAGAAGAGCTGCCTCAGTGTTACTACTCCCATCCATCCATCCATCCCTGATATCCATCTGGCACCTTTATCTTACAGCTACAGAGGTTGGGCTCCAACAAGCGCGCCCTATGTAATATACATTTGCTCCCAGCCACCCATAAAGCAGAGTGGGCTCTGTCCGTATCCTCTCTGCAAAAACTGAGCAAACACGGATGTGTCATCTGCCCTCTCTGCTCCAATCAGCAGAGGATCTGTAAGCTGATCCCCAGTTGATCAGACTGGAATTCACCCTGTGTAAAAGGGGACTAATGCAGGCCATAGACGGTGTGTTTTATTTTTGCACTGTTAGTGGGGCATCGGCCGAATTTCCAGTTCCTCCTCATTTCTTTTATCGGTCATGCTGTAAAATTTGCGAAAAACGGCCAATTTTCGCAATCATTGGTGGCAACAGAACGACGGATGTTTAGTTTTTCACAACACCTGTATGTTGTGATACCCTGCTATGGCACCCCACTCCACATATACAGGAAGTTCATTTGAGCCATAGTGCACCACAATGTACGAATGTGAAAGTGCTTTGTAGTGCACGGTGTTGGAAAAAAAACCCAGCAGCCCATTAAAAATGAAGGTGTGCTTTAAAAGTGCGTGCGTTCCCACATGTAAAAGTGTGTATGATCCTCATATTTTTTTTTCAGTTTTAGCTCTTTATTTTGTAACATGGCAACAGAACAGTTGCCACATTTTTGATGTGTTTTAAATCTGCCTAGCAACAAGAAGAAAAACGCAAACTGCATAGGTGTGAACCTAGTCTGATACAGGGCTGTACATTTTTGGACCAGATGGTACTGGCTGTGCAATCTGGCACACCTGATGATAAATGTATGATCATTTGTTCATAACTTCAATCACCACCAGTAACCACCAGGTGACACTGTGAGGCTTTAATTGAGAGAATTAGTTGTGCTGGCTCTATTCTGTATAGCTGGGTGCTGTTAACATGAACATTTAAATGCTCTCTTATTTCTTTATTTGTTTTTGGAGCCACTTCTGTTTTCCACCTTTAGGTGGAAGGTGTCCTGTAGTTATGCACCCCTGGGTATACAGCAAGACATGTAATGTTAGTGGTAGCTACTGATGCAGCCACTTTTAGCTTTTCTCTTTCATTTTCATATCATTGGATACTGCCATATTCATCTCTGTCCCCAGAAAACTTGCATCACATATGGATGCTGCTTTCTCCAAATTGGTCACTGGAAGTCCTAGACTCCAACATTTCTAATCTGCCAGCCCCATCCTTTATCTTCCATCAAGTGCAGGACAGATGTTGGCAGTGATCCATAGAAGCCCCTTATTCTGATCTGTCCCCCCATTCCTCCAAGACAGATCAGAATAAGGGGCAGGCTCTGCTACATGCACATGTGCTAACTAGGACCATGTTGACAGGAGAAAGATGTCATCAGTTTGCTGCTACTACTTGATTATCCAGTTGCAGGCTGGGAGCAGGAAGGTGATCAAGCTGCATTGCTTTACTGAAGTAGAAAAAAGTTGGGTCACCAGCCTGGCTGTACGGCTTTGCTTAATTTCCGGACTTGCTCAATTTTAATTTTTTTGACAGGCGGTAGCACAGCTTTCATTTAAAACATCAGACAGCAAAATAAATAGTGGAAATATACTGTATATATGAACTGATTAACCAGCCAAGGGAGTTGTAATTCTGATCAGCCGGTTTTGTTACTCACACACATCTGTTACACTGAACAACTAAGCTGATAACCACAGTATTTTGTGGTTCCACTCTACAGCTTCCTATGTTGCCTCTTATGCTCCAGCCAGCAATATTGGACAATTTGACAGCATAATCACACTGCAGACTTATTGCTCATTGAATAGGCCAGTGTCACAGTAAGCTCTAAAGTTAAACCAGGAAGAAGTGAAGTCCTCTATTTGGCTAGACAGGTGTGTGAATCACAAATGCGGCTGAACAAATTCTCACTTTTTTTTTTTTTTCTTTTATTATTCCTGTAGACTAAGGAATTCATTCACTCGGAGCTACTGGCATATCTCTACTCATCCACTGACCAGAACAGTTTGATGGAGGAGTCGGCGGACCAGGCTCAGAGGCGAGATGAAATGCTCAGGATGTATCATGCACTGAAAGAGGCTTTGAACATTATCGGGGATATTACCACTAGCACCATCACCACCCCAGTCCCACCTCCAGTGGATGACACCTGGTTGCAGAATTCCGGCAGCGGCCATAGGTTGGTACAGTACTGTCTGGTGTCATGTATGCGTGAATTTTCAATTTCTTCAGGAATAAATGTCTCTAAAGTTGTTTTTTTGTTTTTTTTTTTTTCTTTTCAGCCCGAATGTGCAGAGGAGGCCAGTTTCCAACATCATGCCCCCCAGCCGTCCTCCGGCAGTCCGTGGCCCCACCCCAGGGCCCCCTCTAATACCTGTGCCAGCGGGAGGTTCTGCTTACCCTCCTATCCCATCTCGCCCTGGCCCAGCGGGGCCATTTCCTGCTGCTAACAATGACCCTTTTTCTGCGCCTCCACAGATCCCATCCCGACCTGCTCGTATCCCACCAGGTGTACCCCCGGTGTGCCCAGGTAAGGACTGTGATCTATTGCATGTTGCTCAGCAGACTATCTGGTGCATGATGAACATTATTAATTACTACATTAATTATGGTCACATACTTGATAGCTACGTGTGTCTGTAGATGAATGATCTGCACAAGAGAATTATTTTTCCGGCCTAACAGGAAATTTAACAACCCTGCACATTTTTTTAATTGCCATTTGGCATCGCTAAACAGGGATAATATACAATTGTGTTCAAAATAATAGCAGTCAGACATCACTAACCTGATCAATCACTGTTTTTGGTAGAAATAATATTTCTACATGGCAAGTAATTTCCTAGCAGGTGTAGTAGAGTAATAGAAATCCAACAGACCCAACAGTCATGACATGCATGCTGCTGATTCTGTGTCATTAAATCACTAATTGAAAGGGGCATGTTCAAAATAATAGCAGTGTGGAGTTCTATTAGTGAGGTCATTCATTCTTTGAAAAACAGGTGGCAATTATTGCCCTTATTTAAGGAAGGAAGGCAGCAAATGTTGTACATGCTGGTTACAGTGCATTTCTCTCTGAGATTCTGAGGAAAATGGGTCGTTCCAGACATTGTTCAGAAGAACAGCGTACCTTGATTAAAAAGTTGATTGGAGAAGGGAAAACATATAAAGAAGTGCAGAAAATGATAGGCTGCTCAGCTAAAGTGATCACAAATGCTTTAAAATGGCAACCAAAACCTGAAAGACGTGGAAGAAAGCGAAAAACTACCATTCGAATGGATAGAAGAATAGCCAAAATGGCAAGGACTCAGCCAACAATCAGCTCCAGGAAGATCAAAGAAGGTATACAGTTCCCTGTGACCACTGTTACAATTAGAAGACGCCTATGTGAAGCCAAGCTATCTGCAAGAAGCCCCCCCGCAAAGTCCCACTGTTGAAAAAAAGTCATGTGCTGAAGAGGTTACAATTTGCCAAAGAGCACATTGACTGGCCTAAGAGAAATGGCGCAACATTTTGTGGACTGATGAAAGTAAGATTGTTCTTTTTGGGTCTAGTGGCCGGAGACAGTTTGTCAGACGACCCCCAAACACTGAATTCAAGCCACAGTACACTGTGAAGACAGTGAAGCATGGTGGTGCAAGCATCATGATATGGGGATGTTTCTCATACTACGGTGTTGGGCCTATTTATCGCATACCAGGGATCATGGATCAGTTTGAATACATCAGAATACTTGAAGAGGTCATGCTGAAGAGGAAATGCCCTTGAAATGGGTGTTCCAACAAGACAACGACCCCAAACACACCAGTAAACGTGCAACATCTTGGTTCCAGACCAACAAGATTGACGTTATGGAGTGGCCAGCCCAATCCCGGATCTTAATCCAATAGAAAACGTGTGGGGTGACATCAATCATCCTGGGCTGGAATACCTGATCACAGGGGCCAGAAGTTGGGTGACTCCATGCAACACAGATGTACAGCAGTTCTCAGAAACAGTGCTTATACAACTAAATATTAAGTGATTAAAAGGAAAGCAAAATCTTCAAACATTTTTCAGTTTATATAGTGAATGTTTGAGTTTGTAAAGAAGAATACAAACACTGCTATTTTTTTGAACAGTCTAATATACACTTTTCTTCCATTTTTTTTTTTTAGAGGAACAACACAAATATGATATTTTTCTTCATGTTTTGATTTGGAATAGAATGTGTAGTGTTCCCAATGCATTGTGTGTGTATGGAAATAAAAGCTATTAGAAGGATTTTCAGCTTTATTCACTTTTTTCCAACACACTGCTATTATTTTGAACACAACTGTACATGCAGATATGTAGCGAGCGCTGATATGAAATGTCAAAGCTGCTAGCACAAGAGACAGTGACGACAAATCTCACAATAGAAGATACATATAAAGTGCAGAGCTGAATATTAAATAATTGAAGGTAAAAAATATCACCAGTGCAAATTGGATAGTGTAAATTTTTCAATCAAACATATATGCGAAAATAGTCAATATGTAACTAAGTAGTGTGATGAACAAATATAAATCCATCCAAAAAAAAATCAAAGTGACAAAAAAAAAAAAAATCAGTGTGGGTAAACAAACTAATGTGTCCATGGCACTACAAGACACAGCAGTATTGTGTTCAATTCCAAGCAGGCTTCCAGTGAAACAGTCCACGACCACTATGCACTCACCAGAAAGCTACTGGTATAGTAGCAATGATATTGATCCCTCAAATGGAGACTGGGAATCTTTGACCAAAAGGACTTCTCTTAAGGAAGAAAGCTCACCACAGGAGTTCAGAAATCGATATATAGTGTAGTACTTTATTTAAAATAGATAAAAAAAACAATCCATGTTTAAGACTGGACAAACGTGTAAACACACATACCAAGATGGCCACCGCTCCAGGTCACGGACGAGTCGGCTTGATGTCAGTATGTAAGCTCCATCCAACGCGTTTCGTGCGCACACACATCAGGGGTATGCCCATTGCCGACATCAGAGACAGACTCCATTTAAATAGCCTGCTGGGCGCGCAACAGATTGACGGGCGCCATTTTCTTGTAGCTCACAAACAGGGAACACTCCAATATGCAATTTAAAATTAATCACAATAAAGGAGCCATTAATCCGGAGTCTAAAAATTTGAAAACTCACCAATAATAGACAAATAACTAGCAGCAGTAAATAAAAAATTGATATAAACTTTTACATTGGTTTACATTTTTATTAAAAAAAAATCTCAAAAAAAGAAACCTAAATCCTAAATGGAGGATTAGTTAATATTTAGGAATCACTAGAAAAAGAATTTAAAGGATACAGTCACCATGATATCCGGGTCCAAAAAACAATTGTGGAGCCTGAGAGAGTAAGTGTCAATCGGTGATACTGTCCCATATTATAATATACAAGTAATTAAAACAAATCAGGCCAAAATAAGTAAAATGAAACCAACCACTGATTAACCAGTTGCCGACCGCAGATAGCCGAATGACGGCTAAACTGCGGCCGGCCAGTTCTAAGTGGACGTCGTATGACGTCCCCCCAGAACGCGCGCTCTCCTGCGCGCCCCAGGGGGTGCGCACCCGGCGATCTCCGTGATCCTACGGACACAGCTGATCACGAGATGTGGTAAAAGGCCGATCATACCGGCCTTTTACCACGTGATCAGCGGTGTCCAATGACACGCTGATCACAGGGAAATGCAAGTGCCGGTTCTCGGCTGCACTTTCCTCACACTGTCAGATCGTGAGGAAAGTACTGCCGAGAACCGGCAGTTGTCAGAGCGAGGATCGGCACCGATCATCAGGGCCACTGATCATCAGTGCCCAGCAGTGCCACCCACAAGTTTCGCCCACCTGTGCCCAGCAGTGCGCCCACTAGCTCCGCCCACCTGTGCCCAGCAGTGCACCCACCTGTGCCACTCTGCAGTGCACCCACCTGTGCCACTCTGCAGTGCACCCACCTGTGCCCACCAGTGCCACCCACCTGTGCCCACCAGTGCCACCCACCTGTGCCCACCAGTGCCACCCACCTGTGCCCACCCACCAGTGCTGCCAGTCAGTGCCACCAGTCAGTGCCCAGCAGTGCTGCCAGTCAGTGCCACCAGTCAGTGCCCAGCGGTTGTGCCAGTCAGTGCCGCCAGTCAGTGCCCAGCAGTGATGCCAGTCAGTGCCGTCTATCAGTACCCATCATCAATGTCACCTATCAGTGCCGCCTATCAGTGCTGCATATTAGTGCCGCCTATCCGTGACACCTCATTAGTGCTGCCTATCAGTGCCGCCTATCCGTGCCACCTCATTAGTACTGCCTATCAGTGCCCATCAGTGCTGCCTATCAGTGCCCATCAGTGCTGCCTCATCAACGCACATCAGTGAAGGAGAAAAAATACCTGTTTGAAAAATTTTATAATAGAAACAAAGAAACTTTTTTTTTTTTTTTCAAATTTTTTGCACTTTTTTAATTTATAGCGCAAAAAGTAAAGCGCCCAGTGGCGATTAAATACCACCAAAAGAAAGCTCTATTTGTGAGAAAAAAATTATCAAAATTTCATATGGGTACAATGTTGCATGACCGCGCAATTGTCAATCAAAGTGCGGCAGCGCTGAAAGCTGAAAATTGGCCTGGTAAGGAAGGGGGTATAAGTGCCTGGTAGGCAAGTGGTTAAAAAGCAGGCAATTTAAATATATCTGACCATAAAAAATGATATAATTATCAAATTACATGTCGACTGTATATAGATGGATTGATGTTGATATAAGCTACAAGAAAATGGCGCCCATCAATCTGTTGCGTGCCCTACAGGCTATTTAAGTGGAGTCTGTCTCGAACATCGGCAATGGGCGTACTCCTGAGGACGTGCATGCCCACGAAACGCGCTGAGTGGAGCCTACTTGCTGTCGTCGTGCTGCCGCATCCGTGACCACTTTTTTTTTTTGTCACTTTGATATTTTTTTGGATGGATTTATATTTGTTCATCACACCACTTAGTTATATATTGACTATTTTTGCATATATGTGTTTGATTGAGAAATTTACATTATCCAATTTGCACTGGTGAAATATTTTACCTTCATATTCAGCACTGCACTTTAAAGGGATAATATAAAGAATTGAAGCGGTTAGGCTTCTCTGCAACCTGAATACTGGCCTGTTGTAACCAGGAAAAGCAGTGAAGTGCTCTGGTAGAGCTTTATCATCTTTTCTTAAACACATTCCGTTCGGACATTTAGATGTCCTAGAAATGGGCCAGTAGGACTGTTAGAGCTGGCTTAGAGGGGCAATGAATGCGGCTACAGAATTCGACAGGTGATTTAGGTTACTTTGTCATTTTTAATAGGAAACTACAGTGTCTGTTTTTATTATTTTCAAATTTGTGGTCCGCTTTAAGTAGAACAGTTGCCATTTTATGTCCATTCAAGGACATAGTCTTAAAAGAGAAGTATGGAAAAAAAAAAATTATACTCACATAGATGGATGCAGCATTAATCTGATGCTGCACCTGTCCCCTGCTGGCTCTGCAGTGAGAACCGAGCAATTAAACACCGCTGATTGCTCAGTTCTCCCTCTCTGCTCTGAGCAGAGAGCAGTGAGTGCTGGAGGGGCAGAGCAGAGACCCGGTGACTGTCACTCAATGGAGTGCTGGGCTGTGGGGGGGGCGGGAAGGGGCTGGCTCAGGCTTTTGGTGGATTGCTGAGAGGCTGAACCAGGTTCCGACCTAGGCTTCTGGGTGGATCTTGACCATATGGTGGGGATCTTTCAAGAGCCTTGACCAGCTGAGTGATGCCAGCCTGCAGTGGACATTCGCCAACTATCGGCTCACAGGAGTACAGAACGAATTGCATTCCTGTGGCTTACAAATGAAGTACAACCAAAATAGCATTGGCTGTACATCTCCTTTTAAGAAGCAGTTGTATTGATCTCTGTAGCTGCAGGCACTGTGGGGCAATTCTTAAAATGCATAGGAGAAGCACTCTGCTCTACCAACTCTTAAAGCTGCTGTTCTGTATGTGCATTAGTTATTAGAAGACTGACAGGCTTTTAAGTCACTGCTGGGAAGGACAGCAGGGGAATCTGAGCTATTGAGTCACTGATGGTAGAGGGAGCAGAGTTGCTGAGTTACTGTTTGCAGGGGCAGCAGGGCGAGCCTAGCTAACCCCCTGCAAGCATGCTGGGAGAAAATGACCCTTGCTCTCTGGATAACTGAAATGGTATCTCTAAGGATATCAAACACCCCTCTGCTAAGACCTGTGGCTCTGCTGTCAGGAAAGCTCATGCTCCTTGATTTGTGAACTGTAACTGTGACTCAACAGGAGGCATTCGGACCTCTGGAGAAAAACACTGCTTCCACTTAGAGAGCAAGGGTCCATCTCTGCAGTATGCTGGAAGGGAACAGGCTTTTCAGTGCAGGCTGTAGTTGCTTTCTAAAAAAAAAAAAAAATTGTCCAACCTCAGTTGCCACTGCCACCCCTCCCCATCATGGAAACAAAATATTTAGCTGGACTTGTCCCAGTAATCAAAATGGCTCCATCTACTGTCATATTGGACCCTATATGTAATAACGGTTTTGAAACGGGAAATGTGTTGCATGTAGGAATCAGACAGGATTTTGCTTTCACTTTTGTAATCTGCACTAATAAAATGGCGTGTGGTTGCTTTTGTGGTTTTCTTGCTTATTTTCATAGGTTGCATAACAGGGGCTTATGTTTTGCAGATCCTCCATCTTCAGAGATACACTTGACCTCAGAATTCTTAGATATGTTCTCTGTGTTGGCTCCAGTTGCCAATTGGATTCAGATATTCATATTCCTATTGTCAGTGGAATCTGAACACTTTAGTCTGATTGGTGGCTGTGGACAAGGCAGGCAGTTATTTTAGACTTCTTCTTGAGGCTCCATATTTTTGTAATATATCTGGAGAGGTAGCAGTATTACCAATGGCTGCATAACAAATCTGTTTTAATTAACATTCAAAAAGCTGTACTGATTATAACGAATAGTAAAAAAGTGCTATGCTAACAGGAATGAGCATGATCAATAACACTACTTATGACTTTTCGATACCAAGACACTGCTGCAATTGGGCTTTTTTTTTTTTTTTTTTTTTATGTGGCTCCCACTCATAACTCCATATCAATGCCTTTTTTTTTTTAAAACCATTGTTTCTCTCGCCCTTTCTTCCTTTTTGCAGCCGGAGACCACCCGCCGCCCCAAACCGGCCCACCATAATCCGACCTGCAGAGCCCTCCTTACTAGACTAAGCATCGGGACGGGCTCCAGGGGCGTAAGCGAGACATAAAGGCTTTGTCGGAAAGAGGGATTATAAGCTGGGTGTCCGTCTCCGTTATCAAAGACGCCGTGCCCGCCCAGCCGTGTAATCTGTCCGTGTTGTTGTTGACCAGTCCTATAGAAATAGACTTTCTCCATCTCATGAAATCCATTAGATTGATCAGTCTTTAATGGTGCATGTTAGCCTTCCGTCTGAGTATATTTCTGAACTGGAACCGAAAGCAAGGAAAAGGAAGAGTTCATTTCGGTTCTGTCAAGCTGTTCCCTGGCAGGTTTCCAAAATGGCTGTTGCCTTTTTGAAAAAAAATGTAGAATGATTGCTAAACTCATCTCTGTACCAACAAAGTTCCTGTCAGACACAAAAATGGCTGACACCTTCCCTCATAAACCTAGAAAGCTAATCTTTGCTCTAAAGCCACAAACCTCATTTTCCCTCAGCATGGCCGCCTTTCTAACATAGATGCAAAATGAGCCTAAAATCCCCTAAAAGCCTCCAATGCAAAATGGCTGCCCTCCTTCTGCTTCAGCCAATGAAAACACAAATTATTTGGAATGGATTAATTGAGTGCAAAGGTCTATTTCTATGTCAGTAGCTTTTGGTCCGAATTATAGCAGATAAGAAGAAATACAGGGTTTAATTCTGTGTCTAGTGGGGGAAAAAAACCCTGGTTCATGGAAGATATGACAGCGTGACATCAAGCGTGTAATATACAGACATCCAGTCTGTGCTGGATTCCTGCCCCACCTATTTAACCGTTGGAGTATTTAAGCCATTTCCACATCTGGAACTGACTTGTTCATGTCCTAATGAAATTTATGTACAGTTTTTGGACCTTCGAGATAAAATTTGCATTAATTTTCATATATATTTAACAGTCTATAAAAACCTATATCCTGTGAGATTTTTTTTTCCTACCGAATTAGTTTTGATTCTCTTTAAATCAGTGCCTTTTATGCTTACGGGTGGGGTGGAGGACTGTGGGGCTGTGTGAATGGGAGAAAACCAACATGATTTGGAACAACCCAAGTATGCATTGTAAAAACCCAGACAAACTGCGCAAACCTGCTAAAGGAAGTACTGGAACAAGTAGCACTGGCAAGCTGTACTAGGAGCAGGAGGGGGTGGTAGCAGTAGTAGTTGAGTTAAAGGTCAACTGCACCAAAAGCTGATAGTTCTGTTTTGCATGGTTGCTGTCAAGTTGAATATGTTGGCTTTTTAAATCTCTGCGTCTTCATTGGCAAGATATCCACACCAAAATGGCTGAAGCAGTTGCAAATTGATAGCGTCCCTGGATCCACCTTAGTATGGATATATGGCTGCTGCAGTTGTGGACCTGTTTTTGAAGGTTTTAAACTGGTATAAGATGAAAGATCTGAAGTCAAAGACCTAGAACAAGACTGTGTCCAGTGAAGTATTGATGTGCACCTTCGAACACTAGTCAGCAATGGCAGTTAAAGATAAAAAGTACTCGCTTTGGTCCCAGCTTCGGGGAGGCACAGGTAATGTCACCTTCGACTCCTGGGTAGGTGGGCAGTCGAAATCTTGTGAGGATGCATTGCAGGACATTGCATTTTTGTAAGATTTCGCGTGACCAAGAGGAAGCAAATGGTGATGACATCACCCACACGTTCCAGAAGTCGGGATCCGGATATGTCAGCTTTTATGTTTCTTGTAAAAGGTTTCTGGGTGGTAGAGGGCTGGTAGGGATGCAGACCTTCTATCTGCACAGAAGGTCCACTTTAAAGCTGGCCAATAGCAGATTAAAGCTCAGCTCCAACCAAACCTACTTAATGCATGTTGGACAAAGATTTTTATTGTGGTCTGGTTACTCCTCTCCCAGTGACAACCTCTTTTGATTCTTGTATAGGTGTTACAAGGAGAAGATGTTGGGTTAAACAGTTATCTCCAGTAGAGTGACAGACCTAAATGAAACCAGTCAAAAATGTTTCCTTTTCCCCCAGCTCTACCCAAAGCTGAAAATAAAAAAAATTCTGGAGTTGGGCTTTATCTACCTTCTTGCTCTTCATGTTCTCTAACAATTCAGAGATTAAACCCTGTTCACACATTACTGGATTGTCAGTTTTGTTTGGGTTTAACCTTCTTTCCCTCAC